CCCCCCCGGCCCCGCCCTGCCCCTCTCGTCCACAGCCTTCTCCCAGATGGTGATCAGCTTCTACTACGGGGGCAAGCTGGTGGGCCAGACCACCACCACCTGCCCCGAGGGCTGCCGCCTGTCCCTGAGCCAGCCCGGGCTGCCGGGCGCCAAGGTGTACGGGCCCGAGGGCCTGGAGCTGGTGCGCTTCCCGCCGGCCGACGCCATCCCCAGCGAGCGGCAGAGGCAGGGGCCCCCGACAGCGGGGCAGGTGACCCGGAAGCTGTTCGGCCACCTGGAGCGCGGCGTGCTCCTGCACAGCAGCCGGCAGGGCGTGTTCGTGAAGCGGCTCTGCCAGGGCCGCGTGTTCTGCAGTGGCAACGCCGTGGTGTGCAAGGGCCGGCCCAACAAGCTGGAGCGCGACGAGGTGGTCCAGGTCTTCGACACCAGCCTGTTCTTCCGAGGTCTGTGCATCGTCACCCCTGCCCGTCCCAGGGCCACCGCGGAGGAGCGGGGGTGGGGTCTGCAGCAGGGGCCCTCGATCCTGCTCTGCACTTTTCACTGAGCCTCGGCTTCCCCGTGGGGGTGGGAGGGGTAGGTGCATTGTGCCCAGAGGACTGTCCCCATGCCCTGGGAGGGCTCAGATGTGCCCCAAAACTGTCCCCCTTCCCTGTGACAGCATGGGCCTCTGCTGTCCCAAGTCTGAGAGGTCCCCAGGGAGGCCTGAGAGGGTGGTGAGGGAGCAAGCTCAGGGGCACCAGCTCGGAGGCATTGCCTGCTGAGGGGCAGGGGGCCCGGTGTCACCCCCTAAGGCGTTGGTGGGCATGCTACAGTGTGGACTCCCAGGACACCCCCAGATCCTCTGACTCCATGGGTCTGAGGTGGGCCCGGCATTCCACATTTCTAACACGCTCCCAGGGGGTCCTGGGGCTTCTGTGTCACCATGTCTGCCACTCACTGGGGTTGGCGGCAGCCAGAGCTGCTGCTGGCCCCAGCCCCTCACTGAGAGCCTATGAGTGGGCTGTCATATGTCAGGTGGACACCTGGGGACTGTGTGTGGTGGCTGCGGGCTCAGCTCCCTGACGGCCCAGGCAGGTGGCAGCTGGGGACAGTGTCCCTGAGGGAGACAGCAGGGAGTGTGCGGGGAGCTGTGCCCAGGAGAGGCCCCACCACTGGCCCATGATTGGCCATCGGGCCACCTGTTTGAGACGACCGTCTTGTCCCTTTGGCGAAGCCCCCCTGAGCGGCAGGAGGAGGCAGGCTGTGCCGTCCTGGCCCTGCACGGCCATCTACAGCAGGAGGCCCTCTTAGCTGGCCTGCACCCTGTGTCATTCCAGAAATGCAGCAGTTCTGTGACAGCCAGGGCCGGCTCCCCGACAGCAGGGTGGTGCTGTGCTTCGGGGAGGAGTTTCCAGACATGGCCCCCTTGCGCTCCAAACTCATCCTGGTGCAGGTAAGAGAGGGCAGCCTCGGTGCGTTGGCTCCTGTGTCCACTCGGGCCGGAGGAGAGGCAGTGCGGGCTGGGGCCAGGACACCTGTGCACAGAGGAGGCCGGGCGAGGCCTCCAGGGTGGGCCAGTGGCTTCTTCCACCTCACAGCCATTCTTGCGTGCCTGGGGCTCCATAAGCTGTGTGTCTGTGTGTCTGTGTGTCTGTGTGTGCTCTTTCTCTTTTTTATTTGTGCTTTTAAAAATCAAAACCTCCGTTCAGGAAGTTCCCACCTGTTGCGTTGCCCTGCCGTCTAAGTGACAGATGAGGGCTTTGCAAGCTCTCATTGAACTCTAGTCAGAGCAGTGAGGTGCCGGTGGTGGGAGTCTGGGCCACGTGCCACGTGGCCACCCGGCTGGGGCAGTTTTCGCAGGCCACGCTCTGTCCCTCTTCATGTCTGCCTATTTGGGGTCACTTACTTGGCCCTCGCGTGGAGCTCCTGGGAAGGCAGCGTCGGGCGGGCAGTCAGGGACCTGGCCAGGGCCGCGGGAAGCTGACCGTCGGCCTCCCCTCTGACGCACTGTCCCCCCTAGATCGAGCAGCTCTATGTACGGCAGCTGGTGGAGGAGACCGGGAAGGGCTGCGGGGCCGGCTCCATGATGCAGGCCCCCGAGGAGCCCCCGCCGGACCAGGTCTTCCGGATGTTCCCGGATATTTGCGCTTCACACCAGAGACCCTTCTTCCGAGAAAACCAGCAGATCACCGTCTGAGTGTCTCGGGCAGCCCCTGCCTGCACCCTGTTGTGTCACTGCGACAGTGACTGTCAGGTCATTGCGGCGGATCCCTCTGACCGGGCGGGTGCTTTACTTTGTCCTTAACTCAGTAAGGCATTCTCTGAGAGCTGGCACGGAGGCAGAGGGCCGCCGCCGGTGTGCGGGCGTGGTTGGAGACCGTGGACGCTTACACCGCGTGATCTGGGAGCTGTGACTATCCCCTGTGGCTAGCAGTGCTGTCTCTGCCTTTCCCCCTAATTATCGATAGTGACATGACTCCTGCGTTCAGGGCTAATCGGCATCTCCAGAGCCTTGCCGTTTAATCCTGCTAGCAGATAACTGCTTCAGGTAGAGGGTCTGGACTCTGAAACCCGCCTGTAAGAGCAGGGCTGGTTTTCACCTCTATCTCGAGTAACAGGCTGACGATTTCACATGCGTGATTCTATGTGTAGTGTCTTTTGACTTCCATTTTTAAGAGAGATTTTGCCTATAAAGTGAGAACTCACCCTCCAGGGGGATGGCCAAGCTGCAGTCCCTTCTCCTTTCTCCTCTTGAGGTTTTGGGCACCCATGCGTACATGCCCAGCGTGTTTTATTCCCCCGGGTCCAGGACTTGAACTGCGGTCAACTGTAGGAGTCCATCTGCTGTCCTATGCCATCTGCTGTTCCCTGACTGTTAAGATTTTGATAGATTTTAAAAATGCTTAGGTACAAGCACCCCTTTAATGAGTAAAAATAAAGCCCTGGACTTGTTAGAGGCCGCGGGTCCTCCTGGAATTTGCGCCGGAAGGCATCTTTGAACACGGAGATCCGGGATGCTTTCATCTGCAGACCAACCCTTCCCCGGGCTTTGATGCCCGGAAGCTCAGAGCTAGATTTCTCGGCTCGTCTCTGTAATTAAACCATTCTGGATGCCCCTCTCTTCCTCAGTGGCCCTAGAGCACTGGTGTTTTTCATTGTCATGTTCTCACGCCCTGATGTAAAATGCTTTGAGTCTGCGTCCCTTCGGAAGTAACTGTGGACCGCCTGGCACCTTCTGCGCCTCCTGCTCAGCCAGTCAGTGCCTGGGCGCCCATGGGGTGAGCAGTGGGGCGTGTGGCAGGGACGTGTTGCCCGAGACTGTGCCCTGACCCAGGGGTTCACCTGGCGGACGGGCAGGGAGGGCCTCCCGCACCCCGACACCCCCGAGGCCTCAAGGGAGTGGAATGGGAGAGTTCCCGAGGGAAGGCCAGTGTAGCCCTGCGAGAGCTAACGCTGGTTCCTAGAGTAAGGCGCGTTTCCTGCCCCAGCATGCCAGGACGTTTGTCCTAAGCCATGGCCGAGCAACAGCAGGTGCAGGAGGCCATCAGGCCCGGCTCGGTGGCTCGGGTCCCTTGTGGCTTCACCTGGGTGACACCATACCCCGAAACCACTGTCAGCGTGCGCATGACCAAGGAGCACTTCGACATATTTTCTAAAACCCACTGTATTTGATTAGCTCAGGGCCCCTCTTACACGCCAGTGTAGACACTGACAGATTTGGGGGTGGGGGTGGGTCTGCTTGCTTCTACCCTCCCTGGCTGGGGAGAGGGAGAAGCCTTTCCCTCCTCCTTTTCCTTTGTGACCCAGCCCGTGCCACCACATCCCTTACTTAGAAGCTTACAGCGAGGGGGCGGGCTGGGCCCCATATGTTAGCCCTCGTCCCAGTCCCGAGAAGCCGGGGAAGGCTTCGGATTGAGGACCAGGCTCAGCCAGCTCCGCAGCCTCTGATCTGCCAGCAGAAGAGCACAGGGACGCCTGCCCCTGTCCGCGTCCGCCTGTGACAGTGATGTAGGAATGACACGGGGTTACACACGGTCGTCCAGCCCTTTGGACGTGGAGGAGCACATGTGACGACTCCAGCCTCCAGGCAGGCAGCTCCCCCTTGGGTGCTGGGAAGCGCGCCCACTGCCTGGGGGCGCCTTCGGGCCGGGCGTCCACCTCCAGCTGCAGTGAGTGTCCGAGTGTGCGCCTGTAATACACTTAATGAGTATTTATTTTTGTATCCATTTAATACAAACGTTGGTCTCTTTTATCTTTTATTGAAATAAAATGCTCTTTAAAGTTTTGTATTCTTTATTTTTTATTCACTTTGGATTATCCTATAATTTTCGTAAGACTCTCGGTTCTTTTTTTTTTTTTTTGGAGTGGTTTTTTTTGCTATAGGGCGCGTGCGCTCGCCAGACAGAGAGAGACATAGAGACAGAAAGCGAGAAATCACCCCCCAGGGGGAATGGTCACGCCGCAATCCCTTCTCCTCCATTTTCCTCTCGGGATCTTGGGCACACATGCACACGCGCCCGGCGTGAGTTTTAAGCCACCGGGTCCAGGACACGAACTGCGGTCGACTACGTGGGAGTCCAGTGACATAGCCATTACGCTAACTGCTGGTCCCCTTCCCATGAGCTTTTTGAAGTCCCTGCATCTCCGCAGTGTGCAGGGTCTTTGAGTGTGAGTACGCTGGTGTGGCAATAGTGCTGGCATGAGTGGGAGCAGGCTGCCTGGCCATGGGCTGCACGCACACCTGTCCTGCCAGGTTCTGGGGACACAGCTGGGGCACAGCGGGCCAGGCTGGCACAGAGACGGCCGGTCTAGTGGGACATCCTCACTGAGTGGTCCTCTGCAGTGCAGGTGGGACAGGTGCAGCCAGCCCTGGCACCGAGCGTCCAGCACACGCCACCTACAGGTTCGTGGTCTCGGTCTCACCGTTCTCACACCGGCCCGGTGAGACTGTCAGCTCTTATCCCAGTGAGGGGGAGGGGACTGAGGCACAGAGCCGTGCTTGGTGAGCTGTGAGTCATTGGTGCTGAGGGGGTCAGCTTGGTAGGAGAGGCTTTGTGGCCAGATTGCATGTGGCGGGCTTGCCGCCATCCCCAGGGAAGGGCAGCTGCCGGGCCTGTTGCAAATCTTAGCAGCCTCCGCAACCGGCCACGCCAACTCCCGCGCTGCCCGTAGGGACTTCATCACAAGCAAGCTCATCTCTGTCCTGCGGGCTTGGGGCAGGATGTGGGCCCTGGATCTAGCCCGAGTGTCCCAGAGCTCAGCGCCCTTACGGTGACATTCACCTGGGATGCGAAGCGTTGGTTTCACCTTAGAGTGTCCAGACAGCGGAAAAAGACAGTCCCGGGGGATCCTAGAAATCGTGGGAAGTCCTGTGGCAGGGATTGGCCGGCCAGCCACCTGGGTCTGATCTGGGGACATTCTCCCCACAGAGAAGCAACTGTGGGCAGCAGGGAGAAATTGCTGGTGAGAGGTTCAGACACTCCGGGGAGAAAGCTGGGCGGCCTAATGACTCAGAAGTACTTAGAAATGCTCTCCAGAGAGTGATTAGTGACAGTGACCAGCTTGACCGTCAGTGCACTGGGAGTGGGGGAGGGTGTTTTCTCAGTGGGAAACCTGGCCGCATGGATGGAAAGCGGTGAGAAACCCGCACCTGTGCTGGCCCTCAGGACAGGCACGCAGACGCCCGGGCATGCGCTGTCCACCGGCGCGCCCAGCAGTCTGACACGGCCCGGAGTGCCTCCAGCCAGCGCCTCCCAACCCCGCTTGAGCTGAGCTGCCGGGCAGCGTGTGCAGAGGAGTGGCACCCTCCCGGGCTTGTCTTCCTCAGAACCCAGCTCGAGTGTCTCGGGATCCAGAGGGACGTGCACGACCTCCCCTGTCCCCACCCGGCCGCCTGGTCTGGACAGTCTTCTGGGCGGGGCGACTTCTTGTGTAACGGCTATTTTCACACCTAGTGGCATAAACGTCCCTGTGGGCCTAGGTGGATGACGCGATGGTGAGGCTCTCCTCCGCTCCTGGCGTCTGGCCTCGTAGCTGGGAAGGCTTCCACAGCTGAGGGTACCCGAGTGCCCGGGGCTGGGACCCTCGGAGGTTGTCCGTTCATGTGTCTGGTGCCCGAGCGGGGAAGGAAGGCTGGCAGAGCTGGGAGGGCTGGCGGGAATGTCGCCCTGCGGCTGCTCCATGGAGCTTGGGCGTCCGTACAGCATGGCGGCCTCGGGGCCATCCGACGCGGCAGGGCAGCCGACTGGGTGTGACCCGGCCTCAGGAGTCACTTCGCTTGGCTCCGCAGCACCCTGCCGGCCACACAGGCCCACCTGGTTCTAAAAAGAAGCAGCAGAGACTACCTCTTGAAGGAGTGTCAAGGAATTCGCAGCCCCGTTTAAAATGGCCACCAGGGCCACAGAGCGCTTCTCTGTTTTCCTTTAAAACAGCCAGCCGAGCCACCCTCTGCTCTCTCTGGGCACCTGCCTCCATTCTGCGCCCACTCTCGCGTCCCAGGCCACAAAGGCAGGCTCTTACCTTCCTGCCGGGTGTGCGTGTCGACGACCCATTGGAACAGGGTCGGACATGATGCTGTTAAAAAAAACTCTTCCCACCAGGGGGGAGGTGGGACACAAAGGAGCTTTGCCACCCGGGGGGGAGTGGGGCCACAAGGGAGCTTTCGGCTAGGGTTGCCTTTGGCTGCCACGGCCAGAGCACAGCCTGTGAGTCCAGACAACCGAGGGTTCAAGCCCAACTCTGTGCTAATTGAGTGTGTGTTCCCCGCACCCGCCTCTGTAAAAGGGGGTAAATATCACCTATGGGGAGCATGAGATGACTTGATAGGTATAGAGAGCCTAGAACAATGCCTGGCATGCAGGAAATACTGAAAACCTGTCTTTATCCTGGGTGTACCTAACGCAATATATTGAAGAGTTATTAGTATTATCAGTAATTAAATAAGGACAATTATTTGTCAATGAAGTATAATGTTAGTATCTAATTACTTGTAATTATTTGATAATTACTGACTACTAAATATTCAATGCAGTAAATATAATTTATAGAGTTATACTCGACACTTGCAGAATGATATTTCACTATAATTACTGAGTTTTGTCACCGTGTTGGATGACCGTGTACTGATATGTGAACAGTCCTTACAGTGCAGAGGCGCCTGTGTGGGGACTGCCTGTCGCTCTGCGTGTGCAGCTCCCAGCCCAGTGCCTGGCACGCGCACAGTGCGCTCAGGGCACACCCGCGGCTGGGCTGGCTCTGGCTGTGAATGGGACCCTTCGTGGAGAAGCTGCCGCCGAGCGTGACCCAGGGTCGCAGGGCCTCACTGCGGGAAGCAGCTGGGACGGATCAGCACTTTCCTAGCTGCCTGGCAGGAGCAGGAGCTGCAGCTGCGTCAGGGTCATCTCCTCCCGTCCCCGTCACAGGTGCTGTGAGGTTAAATACATGAACAAAGTCTGGCAATGGAAATTGTCCCGAGACTCCCGCCTTTCCGGTCTCCTAAAGAGGAATCCCTCTCGGGCCCTCAGTTCTGCCTCCTGCCTTTCTGAGAGAGAGGCCCAGCTGGACCGCAGGCCCGAGGAAGGGGAGCGGGGTGGCGAAGTCCCACAGCCAAGCGTGGAGGTGCGCAGGGTGGAAAAGGCTCCAGGCAGAGACAGAGACGGACACAGAGACCGAGCTGGGCTCTGGCCGCCATGCGCAGCGGGGGCGAAGGGCGGGTCTGAGCCGATCCATACACTGGAGCTGAGCCGTGTTCCGTCAAGGACCCTTGCTCCTGAGACCGAGCCCAGGTCC